CCCATGAAACAGCAAACGGCCACATAATGCAAAACTATATAAAATGAAAACGTAACAGTAGAGAAAATCCGATCAAAATGACAAAATAAACTAAGCATCCACTGGAAGGAATCCCAATATCTGCAGATGGATCCGTTTCGGCCTTCCAGGCCTCATCAGTGCAGCTAGGGTATAGACCCAAACAAAACGTTCGACCAGCCTTAGGTAGGGCCCAAACTAGTCCCACGACCACTAATGATTACAGAGCCGAACCAAGGCAATATATATACACAGCCCAGGTGTGAATGCAAATAGTGGAATACAAGCTATGTGGCTCGGTTCCAGTAGATACAGAGAATATTTTGTCATTCTTAACGCGTCCTACGAAATTCTTACGAGACAGCACTAGTCCGTGAATTTGTGAACAAGATCGGAGATCTAAAGATGCAATCTCTACCGTGCATCAGTGGCGGCCCGCTGGATCTCAATAGAGATTCTTTAGTAATATATAAATTTTAAAAGGCAAATGGGAAAAACCCATAAAACAGCAAACCGTTTGCTGTTTGGGAGGTCTTGCTCTTTTCTTAAATCTACATTTACATACATACTAAGTAGAGATGAATAGCTTGGGAGTGGAGTCATAGCTTAGTGGTTAAGATGCTTGCCTTCCAATCCCAGCGTCCTGGGTTCAATTCCTGTCATAGTTGCAGAATTTTTTCTAATGACCAAATAATTTCCACTCCTAAAATCTCATAAAAAAAATTTATATAATCTTTGAATGGTGCATTGTGTTTTTTTTTTTTTTTTATATATGGCTGCGTTGTCTTTTTAATGGAAATTTTTTATTTTGTCCCAATTCTTATGTTAATAGTTACTGTAATCATTACTGTATATATTGTCTCAATTTTTATATTAATAATATATTACTTATATATTGACTCAATTTATATATTATTATTATTATTATTATTATTATTATTATTATTTATATTCATAATTAATTTTTGTATATATTGTCTATTATTTGGCTTTCGAGCCACGACTTGTGATCACTTTTTATCAGTGGCGGACCGTCAAGGCAAGCAAGGTATGCAGTGCATACCCTGGATGAAAGGTTGCATGTAGACTGCCAACAACAAAAAATCTAAATAAACATATTCCAAGTGACGTAAGTATTTTATTCAATTCTATCTGATATTGTTTGAAAGCAGAGCACTAAGAAAACAACCAATTTACAAATTAGAAATAAAAAAAAACTAATGGAAAACACATTTTGCAAAGAAGATAAACGAATACATTAATGGGTGGACTTATTGGTACCCTTGCTGAAATACTGCCGGCTTATTCGAGGTGGATTATTTAGATACTACACCTCAGGTTTTTGTTACATCAACATTTATTTCTTGATTATAAATAATAAGCAAATTGTTTTTGTATATACAGAAAAGTTGAAAATGCACTGCTTTCTTTGGACATTTTGACTAAATATCTGAAATATAAATATCTGATATGCTAGGTAGATGATGTGACGTCTAGATTTGATCTGTTACTGACTTTAATTACATTTTTTACAAAATAGCCACACTTTCATCAAGGCCGTTAAAGTGAATATCACTCTCCGAAACATTCTACATAAAAACCACCAAGAGCATAAGATATTATATTTTCAGTAAACTAAGGGTACAGTAAGTTGTCTATTGCATCATCGCCCACCTCTCCCACACAAATTTGCATAACAAAAAACATGCATATAATTATCTGATGCATAATTAATCTCCTGAATGGCTTTATAATTTGAACTACATGATTAGACTGATGAAATGTTTGGATTCAATTTATGCTTGACTCTTTGTCAGCATTCCAATGAAATAATAACACCCACGGTAGAGTTGATCAAAAAATGTCTAGAATTGGCATTGCATTATGACTATAATATAGTACTCGATAGTTAAGAACAGCTTTTAAGTAATGAAGTAGATCATACTAAAATTGCACAAAAAATGTGTTTACAAAAAGAAAAATTCTCTAAAACCACTGTACAAATTTTTGCACTAAGTAAACCAACTTAATGGAATTATTTCCCAGACAAAGATGAGAAGGCAATACTCTGACATATGTGCGATAAAACTTACTGACAAACACTCAAAAGTTGGCAATTTATGATTTTTCTTTGTCTCCATGACTTTGCATGGGTCTTCACACAATCAGTAGAAATATTTGAAGAACCACTACCTACCCTAAATAGTGGTATAAATATGACATTTAAAATCTACTAACTACAAAACTACTTACATTTTAAAAATAGCAAAACCTGGCAATAATAATAATAATAATAATATAAATGATGCAAAAGCTACTGATGTTTATATGTGTTAATATTATTTTATGGTCTACTAAATTTGTCAGTGTAATAATTTAAATTCATTTATAATTATTGAATTAATATTCCAGCACCTGAAACCTTCTGGTAGTACTTTCCTGTTCCGTGGGGGCTGAATACCTGGCGGACACAATTTCATCTAGGAATTTATGTTTTTCTTTTTGATGAATAGACTTAATATTAATGTTTTTTTCTTAATAAAGTTAAGTAGATAAAATATCTATTTCACCTCAAAAAGTTAAATTTGGCATTAAAATTGACAAAATTTATTTTCTGACAAGACATGGCAGAAGGATTTGGGTTTTTGTTAAGTGTTTGAAATATTTTTATAAGTTACCACCTGATAAAACGTTAGATATCTACTATATATCTAATTTCTTGTAAGAAAATTAGTAACGACTGCAAATATTTTTAGGGTTAAGATAAACCAGTCAGTTCAGGAGAAATTAATATATCTTTTGTGCAAAAGTTTTTCATTTGAATTAAAACAAAAACACATTCTGAAAATAGTCTTTATAGCAAATTTTAAAAATGAAGCATCCATTTAGGGCTATACCAAGCAAAATACATTTTTAAACTACATACATTTCTCAGATATAGACATACATAACATAAATAAAGTACATACACATAAATATAGTGCATATACAGTGTATGTAAATATGTATCCATACACATATTTACATATTACCTAGTATACTTTTATCAATACACACAATGTATTTTTCACATTTAAATTTAGGTTACAAATGTGTTATGAGTATGGTGGTACTATATATGTACAATGAATTTTTATATACATGTGTGTATGCGCTTGTATGTATGTGTATGTGTGTATATATGTGTGTGTATACTTGTATGTGTCTTTCTGTTTTTGCTTTTTAATATTTTTGTGTTAACATAATGCATGTACCAGGGAAAACAGAGGGGAGCATAGAGAAAATTCTTCAAGTTAATCCAATATACCTATTTACTCATATATGCAAGATCCAAGCAATGCACTTCCAAAATTGCTTAGGCAATTATCAAAACAGGCTCCCAGCAGCAGCTTGTGTATATTGCCTTACACTGTATTATGTTTACTACATTATCTGCATGCAATTTTGTTCGAGTTCCGAACTCTATTCGATTTATAATAAGGCACCCAATACCTCGCACCTGCACCAGATTTACCTCGTTCCTACAGGGTTACCTACCAGACAATAACATAGTGTTTATGCCCCTTAAGGGGCTTTAGACACAAAAACTGTCATTCCCACAGGAGCACATTGCAGACAGAAGTCAGAAAATGTTCTCTTTTTCCCTGGTATATACACTGTATAAGTCTGTCTCATCCAACTGGCAGATGAAAATATATGTACAGTTGATGTACTGTATGTTATTTTTTTTATTCACTGGCACTACTGAAGTTAACCAGTTCTCCATGATATGCATAGAATTAATTAAGCCTTCTTAAAAGGTCTCATACTTCACTTCTAGTACTTTTCAAACCAATTTTCAGTTTGAAATACTTCAGGTAACATTGTGGGAAATACTTAATAAATAACTTTTCCTTCAAAAATTTGGTTTAAAAAAGAGAACACATTGCACATGAAATCTGGTGGATAACTTGGGAAGTTAGTTATACAATGAAGATATATCTCATACTCAGAAACTAAGAAACAGCTATTCTAATTGGTTGACGCTCCCCAACTTGAACAAAGGGAGAGTGGGATACAGTCAATCACAAACAAGCAAGTACAAGGGCAAAACAGCCAATCATGCTGCTAGTTACTAGTAGTATATAGGATGACATATGAGTATAGCATATACACTAACAGATATTTATGCACAATGCACCTAACAATTTGTTTGAAAGGAAAATATGGAAGAATCATGATCGCGAAAAGGTTTACAAAAGCCTCTTGCAACCACTTTTGCAGCATTTATGCACCATTTGGCCTTAAGATCACTTCACAATCACATTCTTGATCAGTGTATTAAATTTTAGTACACATGCTGGTTTGTATATATTGTAATGCTGTCTTTTTACTTGTAAAATCACTGATAACAAATTCTTCAATATCTAAAAATCAATTACAATGGTTTTCAGAATTTAAAAAAAACCAGTTCTGTTTCCCCTTTTTATTTTATCACACAAACTTCTGATGGTATTTAGGGATATTGAATATTAAAATTCAACAAGACATGTTGAATTACTTATTTATTTCCAGGTTACAATACTGCATATCATCAACCAAAGCTGCTAATTTAAGTTTCATAAACATAGGATTAAATATCTAATTTTCTGTACTACTGCAGCCAGAGGAAAGTCATGTTTTGTATTGCAGCAATAAACCAACTGGTCTACTGCTGCTAAGAACTAGCTTGCCTACAACTGCAGCTAGACTAGAGTCTACAGCTGCATCATAAGACAGTTGCCTATTAATGCAGCCAGAAACATTTCTGCTGCAAGAAACCAGTTGCCTACTACTAGAGCCAGAAACGTTTCTGCTGCCAGAAGACATTTGATCACTACTGGAACCAGAAAAAAATTGCCTACCACTGTAGTCATAAATGTGTTCTCCTATTCTACAGCCAGAAACCACTCTACAGCGAGACGACAGTTGCCTACTACTGGAGCCAGAACAAATTTGCCTACCACTGTAGCCAAAAACCTGTCTGCCTACTACTGTATACAGAAACTTGTTTGCCTACTGCAACACAACAGCCAGAAACCATCCTACAGCAAGAAGACAGTTGCCCAATACTGCAACCAGAAACCAGTTTGCTTGCTACTGCAGCTTTGTGCTTTAAGCTACCACAGCCTAAAACATGTAAACAAGGAGTTCACTGCAATCAAAATATTACATTATTGTCAAATGTGTATATTCAAGAAAAAGGTGTTGTTTAACATATTTAAGAACCAATTTCCCATTTTCAGTCTACACATCTATCAGTAGTTTTCCTTTCTATATACAAATCTAAATCTCAGCTGAAAAAAAAGGAGAAAAATCAGACGTTTCTGGCTTGCAGCAAATACAAACACATGATAATTGAGGAAAAAAAATGATAATTTTTATACATCAAAAGCGAACCTATGAAATGTATACAGATATGTAAAAGGCCTGATAATAATACTTGGTGGATTACTGGTAATACATTGGGTTATTAAATACAAAAATGGTTCAAGCAAATGGCACACTGTTTGAGTACTGAGATCCTGTGAAATGTAAGGCTATTCAATTTAACTGAATATAATTAAGGAGACTACCCTGAATTTAAGCACAATTTAGGAAAATGTGAGTACTTGTTGCTGTACAGGTCATTACTCAATTTCAACACTAGAGCAATAATAGCACAATCAGTGCTAGAACACTTATAGCACTACAGTGTTAGTGCTAAGGCTTTATCATTGTTAGTTCACAATAAGCACTAGGATGCTATTCATGCTAAGAGCCCTTTGATTGAATGCTAGGGAAGTATCATTTGGTAGGACACTCTCATGCTAGGAAACTACAAGTGAGATCAGCATTAGGCTACTATCAACTCCAGATCTAAACAATAGGTGCTTCATAATAATAATAATCATTATCCTTTATATTAACCAAAATTATTTTTTTAAATTGATGTCCAAAATATTAATTACCTTAATAATTTAGATAAATTAAAGTGACAGTTGCAGATAAGAACTCAGTCTAACCTAAATTCATCCTGCTACATGTACTGCAGAATTGTAATACAGAGTACAATCTCATCCCCACACTGAAAATCTAGAGTGCAACAAATACATCAACACATGGGATATCCCATATGCTACTTTACACATAAAATCCAGCTTATGTAACATCAAATGTGTGACACCTCTTGAAAAAACCGCACATGTTGCATGTCACATGTAGAACTTTATACACAAAATTTAACCTGTGGAATTTTACTTTGAACATCATACTTTACTGTAAACGAAATATATAAATGTTCACTACATTTTCAGTTAATGTAACGCTTTTCTGTATTTATAATCTATTTTAAAAAATATTGGTTATCAAAAAGTGGCATTATCTTCAATCAAACAGGTTCCTTTAAAATCAGAACGTTAAAAAATATTGAGATTGAGGTATTTAAAAAAAAATTATAGTTCTAAGAAAAAAAACGTTAAAATATTTTAGTGAATAAAAATATGGTGAAAAATGTTTTGGTGCTATTTTACTTAAGGGTGGTACAATCTGTACTACATATATATATACATAAACTATGGCTTGCATTTATACTGTACTATTGCAAAAAATTGTATGAAGTACATTACCTTATCCCCAGGTGTGACCCAATCACTTAAGATATCTTCTACAATAAATTATCTCAACACAGACTAAACAACCAAGAATAGTTAAGATGTCTGTTGCTAAATATTCTTCAATCAGACCACACTAACAAGTTATATGTGACAAATACCAAATATGGGTGTGATATGGCATTATCATGCCCATATAAAGGTGAATCACAGATATTAGACACAATAAACATGATAGTGTTGAGAGGGTTTAAATTTAGTCTGTCAAAGATTGTACAGTTTTATACTATTGCATAGGTCTAATGTTGGGAACTATTTCTAATAAAACAAAAATGAGTTATTTACTTTAGATTGGAATATGAGATTTAGTTTAACAAATTCAAAATATTTCACCTGCTTTGAGTACAATGCTTAAAACTTTGCACAATATTACTAAGCACACTTCTATTATCAAGGTCGTAGACCGCAGTATTTACAGCAATGGCCTCGTTTCATTGCATCTGAAATGCCGTAAAAACCAACGTCCACACACATTCAAGTTAAATCCGTTTTACATTTCCAGCCCTGAAAATAGCTTATATAGCAATTTGCATGATTTCAATTTAAATAATCATTTTTTTTAAACTGGATTAAAGGCACAATTAAATGAGCATTGCGTTTGCCTAATCACACATCATAAAATTCAAAGGTGAATATATTATTAACTGGCATATTTCTGAACGTTAACAGTTTAAATGAGTGGAGGAATTTTGTTTACTTCATTCTTCGTTCAATGATTTCTAAACCAAAACATAATTTGTATCATCGTTTCTGAGAAACCAATTAGGATGAGATTTATGAAAGATAATGGTATTCTTCTGTGGCAAGTAAATGGCTTTCAACAATGGTTATATCCATTGTGAAGAAACCTGAATTGTATTAACAACAATAAGGCCAACTTTGGGTTTCCTAGCATAAGTCAATAACCTAAATTCACCAAGGTAACCGGCTTGAGATGTTGTGTCATTATGTTTTTACCAAAATCATTAAACAGTTTTGTGGGAATTCCATGTTAACTACTACATTCATGTTAAATCCACATACTATATGTCAAATCCACATGAACTGTTTATATGGGAAAAAATCCATGTAACTGCTATATGTAAATTGCACGTAAGCTTTTCTTTCTATGTGTCACATACATATAAACTCCTACATGGATTATTCCTACAACCTGCTATGTATGAAACACATGTTAAATGCGACATGCCAAATCCACATATCGTTCACATGCTATGCGAAATACATGACTTGAAGCTGGTCATCGTGCACCTTAATCGCTCTTGCCATGTCAACAAAATTCCTCCCATTGCCGCTGTGCGAGTGTTGGCTTCCATTTCCACTAAAAAATGTAGATAAATCAATAAGTTGATTATAAAATCCCATAAGTAGTTTGATGGTTAAAATGACAAACTCATCCTATCAACAAGTACAGATAGAGAGTCCAGTCTGCTCATTTTTGTGCAAATTAACTTAAGACCTGGATTACACAACTAATGCAACAATAATAACAACAACAATAATAATCATCACTATAACAAAGTTTAATATATAATAAATACAGACTACAGTGATTGGTGTCAGCCGACTTGGAGAAGAAAATTTATTTTAAATTATTTGGTGTAAGAATTTAAAAGAACCAAAACCATATACATACCTATCACCACCACTGCCAACATAACTGCCATTGCGTGACTGACTTGGACTGTAATTCATAATAATCAATTAAATATATTTTGGTTAATACTGTACATACACTAACTAAAATCTAAAATAATAAGTACAGGTGCATTTTCACTATTGTAATTCTATAATGTAACAATAAATGTTTCTAGACATTATGGCATTGTTTTTATTGAAGATATTTAATAGAATGGATGAAAAGAGATTAGCAAGCAAAAGGAAATTGGTTGTAGATATGCTGAAAATGAGAAGTTTAGCATAGGGATTAATGGAGGTGCTGTAGAGATATTAGAGAAGATGGAGAGGGGTCAATGAAGGAGCTACAGAGATATTACTGCAGGAGCTACATACATAGAGATCAATAGAAGACCTGCATAGAGAATAATAGAGTAGCTACATAGACATCAATAAATGAGCTGTAGAGACATCAATAAAGTAGCTGCAAAGAGACCAAATACAGTAGCTGAAGAGAGATCAATAGAAGAGCTGAAGAGAGATCAATAGAAGAGCTGCATTGCTGTTTCTGTCTACACTGTTGTTTTAAATGTTTTCTTTATGAACGCACCGTCATTTGCTGCACGTGACTGTGCCGCCGGTGGAAAGGTGTAGTCTTTCAAATAAAGTATTATTATTATTATAGAGACCAATAGAGAAGCTGCTTAGAGACCAATAGAAAAGCTACATAGACATCAATAGAGTAGCTGCAAATGAGAACAAATAGAGTAGCTGAAGAGAAATCAATAGAAAAGCTGCATAGAGACCAATAGAGCAGCTACATAGATATCAATAGAAGAGCTGTAGAGAGATCAATAGACTGGCTGCAGAGAGAACAACAGGGGAGCTGCAGAGAGATCAATGGGAAGCTGCAGAGGAATGGTCTCACATACCTGTCATGGTCCTTCTCAACCAAGTGGTATCGTGCCCTGAAGGCAACTAGATGTGCATAGTAAGCAGGAGCTGGTATGGAAACACTGCGAGTACATCGTACATATGTATGGCACAGTTGGTAGGTCAGGGTTTGTAATTCATCAGCTGAGAAAGAGTTGTCGTCCCACAAAACATGGTAATGTGATGGTCTGCTGGTTCCCTGTCAACAGAAATAAATGAGAAACAAAGGTAATTGAATGTCTATTCACTTCAGGACTGCTAATACATTAATCCTTATTATTATTAATACTAAAACTGCTGTAAAAACAATGGCTTCTAAAAGCAAACAAGATTTTGGTACACATACCTGGATACCAGCATGGCTACAAAGATAGAAGTCAAACTCAGTGGGATGTGTGATGCCGACATCTACAGTAGTACCTGCAGGTATGTTACCACTACGACCAACCTGCTCTCGTTTGTCTGAGCAGAATAGTCTCGTATGGTGGCGCTTCTGGACAACAATTAATGTGATCCCTGGTTGGTAGCCTACTTCCAGTGATGTGCAGGCTTCACGTATTGCACGCAGTTCGTGGGCAAGAACCTAGCATGATAAAATTAGAAAGCGATAATTCTTTAGGTTTACTATCGGTGTTCATTATTTGCATTCCAACTTTCTAAAAGTGAGTAAATTATTATCAATCAATATTTTTCACAACAATTATCATACTAATAAGCAATTAGTAGAGCTGCCCATAGTACACTATGTTTGTTGACAAGTGGTAATTGAAAAATGACATTCGTAAAACAAGGTATATTAGAACCCGCGGAAAGTCACTTCAAATTCAGTATGTATAAAAAATTAAGGAATTCCTTAATGGACCCTAATATACCAAAGAAAACTGAACAGTTAATAGGAATATTGTAGGCTTATCTAGACCTGTTTCAAAGATGCAGAGAACGAATTTAGATGTAGGCAGCCTAGCAAGGTTGATTCATAAGCCTAGATGAAATCATCACACGATTTTACCTGTCTGCACCGACTAAAAGTGATTACAGTACTGTATTCTCTCAAATGCTTGAAGAAATTTTTATTTCTTTGACAAATGTCTATCAAATTAGTAAGCTCACGACAAGTTTTTCACACACAATCACATATTCATTCATTGTACTGCCGTGTAAACGTTGCACATAGAGTACTACAGCGTTACGTCACAACACTACGTGACACTACTTGCCTTCATTATAAAAAATCTTCAACCGGACATCATTCTTTACTGACAAACCATTGATCCCAATTTCTAACGTAATTATTAAGATGTTGTATCTTACTTTTTCTTTGTAAATTTTAATTGATGATTAAATGTGTGTATGATAACTAATACAATGCGAGGTTTTGTATTTTTAGTACATTTTGATGGTAAAATATTAGATTTTAAAATACCTATTCCAGACAGAATACCCCCTAGTATGGTTGGCCTAGGCCTAGCCTGGCAGCAGTTAGCCTACGGAACCCCAATGTCTATTAAAATAAATACTGTACAAACAAATCTTCTATGTAAAATTTTGTGTCTGTTATGGCCTTTGTCAAAGATGGCTTGGCACCAATGCAGTTTTTGAAATCTCTAAGGCCTAAGAAGCCTACACAGTAGGTCCTAGCCTAGCTAGGCCTACCGCGTACTAGGCCAGCAAAATTTAAAAAAATGATGATCTACCTGTGGGAACTGACCCTCACTCACTCCATCTCTGTACATGATTATTCTACACGGTTTGAACTGCGTTGACCTGTAAAACTGAACAAGTAGGTCTCGTACCATTCCACTTAAATCATTAATGATCTCCTGACGATGTTGCTGTACACGAACTGTTGCTGCATAACGACTCGGATGGGCATCCATGCTACCAACCACCTAAAAACACAATAAAAATCTATTATGTTTCACCATGCAGAGAAATAGGAACTAACAATTTGTGAATAATAACAAAGTTGTTTGTTTGTTAGAGCATAATCAACCAATGCATTTACAAGGTATGAGTGAAAAGTAATGATATATGCATAAGTGCTAGAAGAAAATCAAACCAACCCTGAGAGGGTTTAAGCTTGGTTCCATCAGAAACTAAAATCAAATTTGATCATATTTTCATAATTTAGACCGAGATGGACACGCAAAGAATATTAGTAATGTTCACTAAATTGCAAGACCAAGGAAAGAATAAGTGTTTTATGATTTATGTATGTCTGTTTCAATGTTTTGTAATTAGTTAGTTTTTGGTGTCTTTTTAAGCAATTGATTGGCTAGTTCTAGGTGTTTTTTTTCTCACTTTGAAAGTGCAATATGTCTTTGTGAAATTTTACTCAATTTAGCCATTGGCTACAATGTAAATTCATTTGTTGATGAATAAAATCCTTATATTGAATTGAGAAAAAATTGTCAGATTTTACTTTAATTTCACTAAAATCATTAATTTTTTCATTTGAATGCAAGTCTCACACACACATTCCTAAGTTAGTTCTAATAAAACAACAGGTATATCAGCTGGTTTAATAGTATTCGTGAAGGCTTAACTTACGGCTGCTATGGAGGGCTTCTTCTCATCACCAGCAGGTGGATGTGTAACATCAGCACCAAGAAATATAATTGGCTCACGGAAGACAGGTGGTCTGCAAATAAAGAAGAAAACAACATATATCAACAATTTAACAGACAGCCTGAAGAATTCCCTTAAGCCAGGCACTCGCGGCATCGTACCACATTCATATTAGGAGCTTTTGATTTGTTCGATGACACGACACCAGAACGGAATTACTCATGCGTGACCGTCCTACCGGGCGTCCTCTGCATATGTAGATTTGGCCAAACTTTTAGTGAGGTCATTACGTTCTCTGCCCTACCGTCGCTGAGCTATTACCATTGGTCGACGAATCCAATTCTCCTTCCTGCGAGTGCTAGACGATGTGACTCTGTTTGCTGATTGTCGGTTTGATTTGACCAGATCATCATTAAAACCGATTCGGTTTGCATGCATCGTCTTGTTGCGTTCTCAATCGATTCCTGTCTGGAACAGTGAGTGTTCGGATTTACACAACAATAATGGCACAATTATCATGGTAACAGTGTTCACAATTAAAAGCTGTGTCTGTTTCATTTGCAAGTTGTCTTCATTCATTGAAGCTTATCGTCCTGGAATCGTCAATGCTCTAAAACAGGGGTGTGCATAAAAATTGGTTGGAGGGCCAAAGTGAATTTTTTAATCAATACCGAGGGACGCACCAAAACTTTGATGTTTCCAGTGTGCCTTCCAAAAAAATTCATGCACTGATTTTACACCACTTCATTCTCAGTTTAAATACTATTTTCTAGAGACAGTCAGTGTTGGGCAGTAAAAAACAAGGTGTTTTCTAGCTAAAGATGTTTAGTGGGCTGCACATATAGGTTTTTTCATACATTTTCGCGGCCTGCAAAAAAATTACTGTTCGAATATATGGGTTTGCTCATTGCTCCATAACTGAAGTCTATAACTTAGGCATGGAGATCTCATTATGTGACAACTTATTCAGGAGTTTCAAATTGGGAGAAGCTACCCTATTTCAAAATACAGTTAACATATGAAGAACATATTATGACAATCTGTGTACATAGCTTGGATTGAAATTTACTCTTTTTCTTAAAAGATATTTTTTTTAAATAGTTCAATACCTTATTTGAGGTAGGAGGATATTGTTAACTCCTCCTAGTTTGACATTAATCTTCAGACAGAGATTGGAGAGAGTTTGGGGTGATGTTTTGTTCACGTTTTTCACCTGTACACACTGTGTTGCGATTCCTAGTAGTGTGTCTCCAACTCTCTTTACTTCCGCTAAAATGTGGAAAACAATAAAACCAATTATTTTATGGAATTTGAATATCAATGTAAATAGGTAAATAAGAACGTTTGTCAGAAGGTTTCAACCTATAGACCAATGATAATCCACAGGGCATTCGGGTGAGAAGAAGGATTACAAACGATGGTTAAAAAGCTACATTAATCTGAAGCGTACAGGTAGTAAAACTAGAGTGCGCATCCAGCCAAAAATTGCCACATGAAATGCACAATGGTATACCAATAAAAAAAACCGGTCAAATTTACGATTCTTATAAAACTAAAGCATATATTGACATTTTTCGACTTCCTAATTCAAAGCTTATAAGTGTCTTGTGCATATTTTGAATTTCAAAATTCCTTCCATCTTTTGATGTTCCCATGATATCACATAACCTTTGACACTCTGATGAAACTTTGGCATCATGCTCATTTGATACTTACCATAGACAGGTGTTTTGCCCGGTAAGACTACTATAATCAACTGCAGCCCTTCAAAGGTGGATTTGAGATGCCTGAAGATGGGCTCGACCTGGTCTGATCCACTGGCATATTTACAAAAGGATGGCTGGCCTAGAATTGGCATTCCAGCATCATTTGAGATCTTCTGGAGTTGTGCGGTGAACGATCTGTCAGGACACAAACATACATTTTTTATTACACATTCACATTAGCTATATGCTCAATGATAAATTTGTATATTAAAGAGTTCCACAAATAAATACAAGAAATATTGTTGCAAAATATTATATATAGGCCTATTATTATTTCTTTACGATACCAAAATAAGTTGTGTTACATGAATCATCCTCAAACAGAGTTTGAGAGCATACCTTAGAGACTCCTCACGACAGGTGTGTTGAGGTGCAAAGCATGCTATTGCCCAGATACGAATCTCTACACCTGAGTGGAACTGCTTACCACGCATGTCCCACACCCCGCTATTGGGTACTGCTTGCTGCCGAGTCTACATATCAACAAAAACATTTACAACATTCATGTCATTGTCTTCATTCCATCAGCATCATGTCTCCCACCACATTTATCATTATCAACATCATCACTTTCTTCATCATTATCATCATCAATAGATTATCTCAGCTATTTGGTCATTGTGGCCATAATTATCATCACTGTAGTTCCATTACTATCTTTATCACTATCACCATTAATGACACTTTCATAATTATCAACATCATCAATGTCATCATCATCAATGTTATCAACATCACCATCATCAATGTTATCACCGTCATCATCAACGTCATCATCATAATCATCAATGACACCTGTGATCATCATAAACATCACCATCATCAATGTCAACATCATGATTATTATCATCATCATTCCCTTACTTTTATGACTTCAACTATGTGGCACATAAGAACACTACACTACTGCAATCACCAATTAAATTATCAATGTTGTTGTCATTACATCTGTCATGATTCATTGAGACATTCATTTTAGCTCTTCCATTTACAGCCAACACCATCAACTTGACCACATATCTGGGTAGTCCTCATTGTGTCAATCAATCAATCAATCAATCAAACGATCGATCAATCAATATCCGTATTACAACTACTATTATATAAATACTTATAAAATTAATACTATTCGTTGCAACAAGACAGAGAGGTGTCTCGTTGCAACGTAACGTTGCATGTAATAAGCTCCACACTCGAACAAGCAAGGAACTGAAGCTTTAAACAACACTTGTTTTTTATGGTGACACTTACCAGGACTGCACAACTCACTTAAGACTACTACATCAGATGTACAAGTAGTTTGAAGACAGTCTGCCATCCACTATGTCCAACATTATTTAACATTGGTGATATGACGAGAAACAAATGCTGCAGTGTTGCCTTAATTAATAAAATTTGATAAAATTGTTGTACTCACACTCACCCTCCCCCCATACTGCAGCCTGGGTGGGTTCAATACACGGCCCTGGATTTCTGTCATTTCGTTGCTGATACTAATACCAAACTGTCGCATGTACGGGTCTTCATTGAACTTGGCTCGTTGTAGCTATACAATCATAAATATTCATACCATATATGAATTTCATATTCAAACAAAATAAAGACAGGTACTGTATACAAATGATATGCACAAGAGTGTGTATTTATCAATGTCTGTCACCAACTACAGTAGGGGTGCTACCTGTGCATCAATGGTTGGTGAGATTAATTTACTGGAGCAATAATACAGTATGTATTGCTTGATATTGTTATTAATTGACTGGGGTAATATATACAGTATGAAATACTTCATCTTTAATTAATTGACCGGGGTAATACATACAGTATGAAATATTTCATGTTTAAATTAACAGACTAGGGCAGGGGTGGGCATAAAAACTGATATCTCCAGTGTGCTTCCAAAAACCTCCAAGCACTGTTTTTACACCACTTTATTCTCAGTCTTAATATTATTTTCATATGATCAGTGAAAGGCCGTAAAAAAACAAGGTTTTTTCTAACCAATGTTGCTTGGAGGGCCGCTCACATAGGGTTTTAATTCATATTCCCAGGCCGCAAAAAATTGCAGCCAGGCCGCATGTGGCCTGCGGGCCGCACTTTGCCCACGTGTGGACTAGGGTAATAATACAGTGTGTATCACATAGATTCCTTGATATGATGCGTTATATAGAGTCAGTTTAGATCAGGTGGCAACGCATTGTAACAGTACTTTAAACGTTGCAGGTTCCACAGCAGTAACTTATAATTTCTTTGTTCCACATTCTCTACATTACGTAAATGTTAACGGTTTCTAACAATCAATCAAGGATGAATCAAATACTTACAAGACTGTTTATTTCTCTTTCTCTGTCTGGTGCTGATCTAGCAGTAGCCTACAAAAAAAAGCCACCAAAAAACATATTATTATTTTGGTCATGCTAAAACATAAATATCATTCAATACTAGTTTTAAAATTGTTTATGGTACATATGTACACATATGAATAGAATGTGACTCGACAGTCTCTTGTTTCATAACATCTGCCAAAGGAGGTTAAGTATTCACCATTGTCTGTCTGTTAGCAAGATTATGCAAAACTAATGAATGGATCTTCATAAAGTTTAGTAAGATGGTAATAATATTTAAAGAAAGAGATCATCAAATTTTTCTTTCTTCATGCTTAGGAAGCTAATCCTAGAAAGAGAAGTTCTAATTCTCATATTTAAAGTTATATTTCTGTTTTAAAATAATGAACTTGAAATATTTATCAAAAAAGTTTCCAAAAATATTTAATATTAATAATTAATAATCAATCATTAATAAATCATAATTTTAAATCTTACTTTAATCATTGTGGATGTCTGGTTGTCAGTTAATTTTTTGATACATCTTTGTCCAGCAACAATATTACACACCTGATTGTGAAAGAAATAACATGTTGAATAAACCAAACTTATCGCAGTACCGAAAACAAGAAAAAAAAAGTAATCTATTTCTATTTTAATTAATCTCAAATATCTAAATTGGTTGGTTACTTTGATTGAAACAAGATAACCCATAAAAGCCTGAAGACATATTTCCAGTGGGGTCCTTCTTGTGATAAATTTGGAAGCAAAGCAGGAGACAATCTAGCATTTTTACATTCGACAATGTCCATAGCAATACAATTACTCTGTAAATTTACTTTTCAAAAACATAAGAAACTTACTTCTAATGGGAGGTAGGTGTGTCTTTGCTCTTGTCCAACTTGTAAGCAAGGTAAAAATGGATAACTGAGGAAAACATAATAAAAAAATATTGTAAATTTAGGAAGACACTATTGACAAATAGTGACCTGAGGTCTGAGGCTGTTACTACCTTTACAAATTGTGATCAGGACATTGTTCAACTATAAGCAAGGTAAAAGATTAGGGTAACATATTAAAACAATTTATATTATTTAATTGCTCTTGTCATAAAAGATAAAAATAAATATTACAAAGGCCCAACTCACTGTAACTTCATTCTGTACTTGTCCATAAAATACTTGGCCACTGTACAGTCAACTGTCTGGCCATTTTCTAATTGAAGGGGGAATCTGGGGGAAAAAATTAGCATTCACTTAATTTATTAATGCTTACCTGCTTTGAATAATGTTTACATCGGATGTGCATTTACATATAGTAATAGTGCAATGTAGCTAGGGACATGTATAAATTCTCCCTAGAAAATGGGACATGTTCAACTTTGTTTTCTTGTGTGAATTAGTCTCAATTGTTGCTTACGCTCTCTCTAGATTATAAAATCTTCTTTGACAAAAAACACTTGTACCCCAATATATGGCCATGATGTGTCTATATATGATTATAGTTTAGAGAGATAATACTTTTGGTCTATACAACCCATGACCCTGTGATTTATAGGTTGATATTTTAACCACAGACCTACAGCTCCACAACAACTAAGTGGAATACAACAATATATGAGAACAAGTAAAAAATATAAAATTTAAAAAAAAATTAAAAATACCAAAAAAAGAACAGAAAAAAATGTTTACGTTAATGTTTGGGCAGGCCTTCTTGTCACATTGCAAACTCTGTACTTTCTTCTCATGTTTCCACAATGTGTTATTTCAATTTTCAGTCCTGTAAATGAAAAATAAATGTTATTTCTTCAGACCCAAAAATAAATTCTGATATTCTACAAATCAACAGTGATGAAATGAAAAAGTGTACTTCACAAAGTGGCTCTTATGAGCTGATCTTAAATATAATTTTGATCATGAAATGATCATTATAGATAAAATGTAAACATTCTCTTTTAATCCAAATAAACACTTGACTCAAATATCCAGATGGTGTGCAGCGCAGGATCTAGAAATTGTCCAATGGGTGGGGTCCAAACCAAGGGGCCAATCAGAACCTCAGTCAGGGTCCCGTAATATATAATTCCTAGTAGGATTCACAGGGAGAGTTTATATGGCTTAGTATGTTCCAAATTGTGCTTTTAGACCACGATATTAGGGATTGGCAATCAAAATAACTTTACTTGGATAGGCAAGTTATTTTTTTTTTTTAATTTTTGATCTGACGACCTCACTGTGGGGTCAAATGACAGGGGGGGTCCAGGTCTGTCCGACAGGGGAAATATTCCCCTTGCCCCCACTGGCGCCACCATAGGTGCAGTGGGAGATCGTTTTTCATTATGTATTCCAAAAGGCACAATATAAATACCCTGTACAATATAATTATTTTTGTTAAATAAATTCCATCAATGATAATTAGGGTATTGCTAAGCCCCGCAAACCTCCTACAAATACTGCAAACCTCGGCCTACATCATACAAACCACTTGATAATGATTACATAATGTACTACAAAACGTACTAAATGATTAAATGAAAAAAAAAAATATGTGGATAAATCCATTTTTGGGGTAAAAATTTGTTTTTCTGTGAAAAAAACCCTGCAAACCTCCCACATAGTTCATCCAAACCACTTAAAAATGATAATTTAATTAGATATATTATATTAATGTACAATATTAAAAAAAATTATATATATCATATTAATGTAATATAGATTAAAACAAAATAATTAAATTTAAAAAAAAAACATTATGTAATATAATGAAAAATCACTTGGTGCCCAATACCTCGTATTTCTTTGGTGAACTTAACACGGTGAGAATCTGAAAGTGGTCGACGGTTCTCATGCAAGTCACGAATATCCAGCACTTCACCCATAAACTCAATAACAGGCTGGGCCTTGTAAAAAGCTGTAGCGGAAACTGTATAAAACAATGGATCCTAAGAGGTTAGCAGCTAATAACTAATATGGAGACCATTACAAACAAACACAATGGACTGAATTTCTTCGATGTGAAACACAAGTATGGATGAAACAAAAGTTGCCGAGAAGTTAGGATTGGAGTATTTTTGGTGTAAATCACACCAAAGATAACCCCTTTTCCAGTGGGGTGCTTCTGGTGAAATGGGCAGTACACTGAACGACAATCCCCCACTCTTTTTCTGATTAGTGGACTGTGCTCTTTAAGGTACATGGGCCATAATGCACACTGGTACAACAGCTTAAACATCTTATCCGATAGAGGGTGCACTATCGTAACTTGCATTTCTAGAGGGCAAGGAGAGCAGCGATGAGACTTGAACTGAGGACCTAGAGGTCTCCACAGTTCAGCGCACACACAGTGGCTGAGCCGACTGAGCTAAGCTACTCTCACTGAGCTAAGTTGCTGACAAAAGCATAGACATATTTCCAGTCAGTCCTTTTGGTGGTTATTAAGCAATGCATAGCATAGGTAAATCCAAACATCATTGTTTAAATGAGGAAAAGCAAATGTTGTGTTTTACAGAGATATAATTATCTAGTTTTATGTACTGTGGTTGTTTCCATTTATTGTATATTTTTGAATAACAGGTATTACATGAAATCAACTTCAATGAAATTTAATAATTTGTAGTACAAATAAACAACATTAAACATAATGATTAAAAACCAATAAATGAACCAATGATACATCACAATTATGACTGAAATCAAAGGAACAGTAGTAATACGCAGTTACTATGTGAATACATACCATCTATATTAAGCATCATTTTCCACATTGAAGGGCGAACACTTTGATGAAAACCAAACCAAACTTCCCTACCACCACCCAATGGGTGATAATAGTTCTCAGGGGCAGTGAAGAATGAACGGCCAACAGGGGTGTATCTGTACATTAAAGTAAATCCTTAATGATAATGTTGTGTTGAAATATTATTATAAATATACACTTAACCAAGACTACTAAGTGTAACTTAATACTTCTTTGAGCAAGTACCCAAATGTTATATATTTTTTCTTTTGTTCAATCAACAATAAACAAAGATAAAAATCTCAATTTAACAGGTTGAAAAAAAATACAGAAAAACCTTTTATATTATAACCTTACAGAAAGACTTTTATATTAAATAGTAGCGAATAGTAAAGTGGAAATTAAAAAACAATATTAATAATTACTATTAATATTAACAATTGGTTTTTGAACAGTTAGTCAACCCTAAAACTATTATTACTATCATTATTAATATTATTTTAATATAAATATTCATATTGATTTGACACTAAGAAAAAACTAAGAGAACCCCATTTTTTTTATTCAATACCTTGGTTCCACAAATTTATACAGTATTTGAATTATTTCTATCATCAATATTTATATTTATAATCAAAATATACATTTTTTTCAATTATTAGTTGACTGTACTTACGTCATTGATGGCAAGTGTCTCATAATCACATCTAAAGCTTGGATTGCATCAAATGGTACAAGAGCTATCTGACCTTCCAATGCTGCCTGTAGCTGAAACAAGCTCACTTTAGACATGTATTTGATGGTCACTTTAAAAGAGCGGTCACGGCCTTCGCCTGGTAAAACCACCTCTAGTTCAACCTATATTAAAAACAAAACATTAATGATTAAATGAATATTATATTAACAAATCATATAATGATATACAGAAAGTAGTGGTGCCAGTACTTGGAATAGAAGAAGGAGACATATGTCAGAGAAATGGGAAAATCATCATCAATTTGATTGAACTGGATTTACTCAGGGTCAAAAGCAAAGACACTTGCCACAAGTCCCTTATTATATGTCAATCTAAATAAAAGGAAATTGAGAATGGGAGGCCAATTAAATTTGGTATGGTGCGCAATAAGTGCAACAAAATGAGAGTAACCCAAGTCTGAGAGTAACCCCCAAAAGTCTGAAGATGTAATACCAATGGGGTATTTCTGATAGTGATGGTGTCATAATAATAATAATAATAATAATAATAATAGCAGCGAATAGTAAAGTGGAAATTAGTAATAATAGTTTTAGGGTTGACTAACTGTTCAAAAACCTATAATAATAATAATAATAATAATAATAATAATTATAATTATAAGGCGCCAATTCCAAATTGAATGATCAAAGGCGCAAGCGTTATTACCCCTGGTCACTGGATAACATACAATGGCAAACCAGCACAAAGTGCAACCTTCTCTGGCCCCTGGGGAGTATCCCTATTCGTTGCTACTACTTTAGCGCACGAAACTCAAACATTCAATGTCACAACATCCTACCAGGTACCCCATTTATACTCCTGGATCGATAGAGACAAACGTAGATAAAGTGCCTTGCCCAAGGACACAAGCGACTTGCACAGAGAGAGTTTCGAACCCCTGACCTCAAGGTTGAAAGTCCAAGCCACAATTGATGTGCCAACCGCTTCTACAAATGGGAGGCAATACCCTACACTTTTTTGAAGAGCGTATTGCATTCTTTAATGTCCACAGCTTACCTTTTCATTCCCTATAGGGAGCGGTTCCCTACTGTACAGGTTCTTTCGGCCATCAAATACTGGCTTCTGATTGGCAAACACTTTTGCTGAGTAAACCTTCACTAGTGTTTCAATAACTTCCCTGTTCAGTAGATAAAATGAAAAATAAAACTATCGGAAAAAGAACTGGAATCAATAACATTCTGCAATAACTGCCAAGAAAGATTAGCAGGGCATGTACCAAAGAAAAATGATTGATAATTGTTGGTTTAAAAGCAGCAACCAAGATATCAACAATGGATGATTTTAGAGAGGTAGAAAGTGTAATTGACAGACAAAATTAGAAAAAAAAAAGACCAATTTACTACATGTGGTAAAGACAAGGCAAACCAGTCACTCGTCGCAAATCGTGTTTCAGAGATAATGGCAAAAACATAATGAAATGCCAAGATTTATGAAATTTAATTTCTTGCACTAAACTAACCTTTATACTGTATGCATCATGCTATGTTGTTATTTTCCCAATTTTCAATGTTAAAACATCAATTTTAAACAATTTGGTGATGGCTTCTGCCTGAGAAATGCCAAAAATTGTAAATTTGGAGGTTGATTTCTCAATTATTGTCCTTTAAACATAACAAAATATCAGATTTAAATGATTCATTTACCATTTTATAGTTCTCATTTTACTGTTTAAACTAAAAATCGGTTTTTGTGAGGAGTGACTGGTTTGGCTTGTCTTTGCCACATATGTATTGTACTATAAATGAATTGTGATGGATGGAATAAAGTGTTACTAAACTCAAACAAAAATGTATACAGCAACATTGTATCAGAAACTGTACCTATTGACCCTCCTGGGACATTTTTCAGGAGTTATCTCAATATCATAGTGATATACATCTTCCTTAGGCATCATTATTTTGAAATGGTTTGCGCGTAGTAAAATTCGCCTTCCTTCAGTCCCAATGTTAGGCCTCCTTGGCGACTCAAAATGAGCTAACTCTTGTCCGGGTAAAGGCGACCCTGATTCAGGCATATGAGGATGGATGAGTTGAGTCTGATGTGGTTGATGCATTTGGCCTGCGCCTGCTGGGCCTATTTGAGTTTGTGGCCCCTGAGAAGGCTGAGGTTGCTGTGGCTGCTGCTGCTGTTGTTGTTGAGGGAGAGGGATGTCTGTAAAATATTCAAGAAAATATAATATTTTAACATTTGTACATTACACCATTCAGTAAAAGATTTTAGATGATTTATAATTTTTGTAATGTATTATATTTGTAACCCTATAATTTATTGATTTGATTTATATCAATATATACAGAAAATGAATCGAATGTACCATGAAATGTTATAATTATATGCAGAGTTAGATTTTAATAAATAAATTATTATCATTTTACAAAGTATCTTTTACTTAATATATAAAATCAATCTGATCATTAGCATCCTTACTATTAATTTAAAAAAACTGCACAGAATTCACATTAAAAACAAGTACTGTACAGTATAAACATGGAAATAATAAAAGTCAAATTTATAATCTTAAAACAAATAAATCCTCATAAAGCACTCCTGGTTACAAGTACTAACATCCATAGTGAAACCAGAAAAGATTTAAAGAATAGCAATATTATCGTCATAATTACTTTCAATTATTAAATTGCATCAAAATTCAAAAGAACAATTATTTTATTTTAATGAATGAATGGGAACCACTCAGATACACTGTGGACATGTATTTGAATCTTTGACACTGTTTTGAGAGAGCCACCAATGCTTCTTAAATATTGTTGATAAAACCATGGAAGTATCTCTGCACTGCACGATAAGGTGTAATAGGAACCAGTGTGTTGAGGACAAGCTACTGTGTATTTCATTACACGGCTGAAAAGGTAGTCTTCTCTGATATTTGAGTAAAAGTTACTGATATACTGATGATACTGATCCAGAAGAACTGAAAATCTGTATTATAGTCTATAGTGTTTAAAAATTAACATAACTTGTAATGAATAACCAAAAGGTCCACTGATTAATCTCAAGTAAGATAGTATAATACATACTCCAAGTATCGAAATGCACGCCATCGTGTCGGGATTCAATATTTCGATATTAATTATGTCATCATCAGGAATGATTCCTGATGATGACATAATTAATGTTGAAATGCTGAATCCTGACACGATGCATGCATTTTGATACATCATTCTTGATGATGACAAAATTAATGTCGAAATATTTAATCCTGACATGATGGCGTGCATTTCGATACTTGGAGTATGTATTATACTATCATGTAATATTTAATTTGCAACAATTCACATTTTGAGTGTGAAAATAGAATTAGAAGACGCCAGTCAAGGAATATGCCCTAGGTAAATTCAAATGAATGTAAATTGTTTGTATCAGTAGCATACTTCTATGAATAGCCTAACAATACAGGTAAGCCCAACTTTTTCTATAAAACTAACCGTTAGCGCTAACTGTTAGCACCTGCGTGAAAACGCCCGATCAGCGCTAACCATTAACGGTAACCAAATACGCTAACGGTTATCAAGCGCTATCGGTTAGCAAATTGAGGGCGTTTCTATCGTCAACCAATCACACATACGCGTTTACAATTTCCAGTTTCTTATTGGCCAGTGATTCGATCATCATATTGTTGGTATCCGGATCGGGATTTTCTCGCATGGACGCACAGCAGCTATCGGTTAGTAGGATCCGGATCCTGCTAACCGTTAGCTGCCGTGTGAGAACATAGCCACAACCTGTGGCCAAGTTGACTAATTTATATTAATATATTAATTATAGTTATTCAATCATAATTTTAATGTGTGGCTGAGGCCGAGTTGACTTGCGGCCGAGCTGACTTGTGGTCGAGTTTACTGTGGCCGAGTTGGCTTGTCGCCGATTTGACTTAGGCCGATTCGCCTGTGGCCGAGTTAACCACTTTCCCTCCTTCTCTACACCAGGCCTAGGCTAGTACTAGGCCTGGTAGTAGCCTAGTAATAGTACAGTAAGCCAGGGTCACTGCACAACAAAATCTTCTCTGCATTTAATTCAATATTTCATTTTGAAATATTGGTAAACTGGCCCTACATGTAGCACTACTTCGTTCTTAACAATATAGTACATAATGCAAAACGAGAATCCACAAAGAAATCGGAAAATAAAGAGCCTATTCCAAACCAATCTGCCACTAACACTTTAGGCCAGGGTATGGCGACTTCAACGTTTCCAAGGACGAATACGATAAGCCGTGTTCATGCGTTCCTTTGCCCTCTTGTGTTAGCATCGTCTACTCTAAATTCGCGGTACTTATTGTAAACAGAAAATGCCTAAATTCACCTTTATTTGAAGGAATTATGCGTCAAAATAGAACTTTTAAAACACTTACTATGTTGAGGATACATCGTATTATGTGGTTGATACATCCTGAACGTGTATTTTTATAAAACAAGGAAAAATTTCAGGAAAAATACACTACGCTTACTCTTGATTACACGCTATTGTTCAATCCCTACCTGTATAATAATTTACCAATAGAGGGCGGCAGTGATTTACAATTTACAACTCAATTCAATAACAAAAATAAACAGTAAGAAGAGTACCAGCCAGTCAGCCGTAGGAGGCGTAGACATGAGCTGCCCATACATAAAGCGTACTCAGTTCGGGACAAAGTTCCCTTAACTTCCCCGTAACAGGAAGTTCTCAGGGGCGTCTCCCAGTGAATGAATAGGTGTCGGAGGTCTATCCATTTCTTGGCCTAATAGCCTAATACATTGTATAAATACTGAATAAGTTTGTATTATACAAAAGAATTCAGTGTAATTTATTGTCATTTGTAAAATTCATTTTACATAGAAATACAAATGCAAGGGCCTGCTCATAAATAAATAACAGAAATATTAACTAGGTAACAATGTAACAAATAAAAATACATCAGGTAATTACTTGATTAGCTAACCCAAGAACACGGTATCTATATTGTCCGAATACTAGGCCATGACTCATAATAATGTACAAATTTTTTGGCCAATTTCCCATTGCCGGTTTTTTTTTTTTTTTTTTTTTTTTTTTTTTGTAGAAACGTGTTGTCGCTATTTTATTGCCGTTTTGACATGAGTCCCTGTCCAGATTTAAGATAGGACTATAGTAACCAAATGTGAATGTGAAATTGTCTCCTTAAAGGGTTTATCTAAGTAAAAAGATGACAGATTCAATACTTTTATTTCAATTGATCTATGGAAAGAATTACAAAATGAAAGTAATTTATAACAATAATATTCAATAAAAATACAATTAATGCATTTATGATGATTATGAAGTCAGCATAATAATTGTATATATATTGTTCCAGTGATTCAAGTGCTACCATATTAATTAATGACCAAATCCAGTATGGGTTGCTGGAGTGTTAAATAAGTGACCGTTTCCTCCTCTCATTTCACGAGAATGTTTCCCTTAAAAGGGGATGTCCCCTAATTAGCTGTTTGGCACATTTGTGAAATGGTTGTTCCAGGTGCAGCTTTCTCCTTTTCAGTAATTGTTAACGTCTTTAATTTATTTGAATACTTGATAATTTCGATTAAATATTGACTCAAATTTACTACCTTTCTGAGGTTCTCATGAGTACAATAAAAAAAAAAGAACAAAAAATATTTTTCTATCACAAATAGTTTTTACACGTAAGTTAAATTCATAGCCATTATAGTATGAAGTGGTTTTTGAAATAGGGCCATGGAACAGCTTGCTCCGTCAGCCACGAGTTGACCTGGTATTGCAGTACCTGCAGGAGCAGCCCGGCATCCTGTACAGAGGAAAAACATATTTATAAAAACATTTTTGAAAAAAGTAATTGACCCGATAATCACACTTGATTCCGAAAAGCTATGGGTATTTTGTTTCTGAGAGATCCATCATCATCGTATACTCAACAGTTTCTGCCCCTCGGAAGATCTTGTATGACACCCCCTTCCCCACCTTTAAATTAGATTTTAGAGAAGCAAACTTGGCCGATATAATAATTAGAAATTGAATTTACAGTTCCTTTCCGATCCTATCTGGGTCTCGTTTTTTTTTTTTTTTTTTTAACTTATTAATTACAACGCTCCTTCATCTGGAAATAATAATGGTAATGGTAACTATAGTAATCGTCTTGGGTTTTGTTGTGATGATTCTAATTAGTTTTTGTTGTTTCAATTTTTATGCCGTATTTGTTATTTTATTTATTGTTTATATTATTTTTTATTAAATTAACTAGTGCGGTGAAAATGATGTTCATCTGCTATTTGATATATCTTTTTTTTATCTTGATTGTTATTTTTATTTTTATTATTTTATTTTATTTTTTTTTTTGCGATTAAATCTGGTCCTCCGTTTCAAGTTGTTATTATAAACAATAATTGTATTTTTATATTTTTTGCGGTGAACTTGTTTTATGATTACCTTTGGCAATTTTTCATAGGCTAGATTACGGTATAATTTTTTTTATTATTTTGCCTTATTGATTTATTTATTTTTTTGTCTTTTTATTTTTTATTTTTATAGGTTTTTTTTAAAATATATTCTGCATATTTCTATGTTTGAGATTTACCTTCTCAATTTCTATTTAAATGATTTTTATTCACTGTGCAATTCTTGTTTCGCTTATTGTTTTATGATTTCTCTTATTCCTTTATTGCCTTGTTTGTGCTGTCATTTTTTATATCCAGATTTCTGTTTTTGTATTTGAAGGAGCGAGCCCTTGTAGAGGTGTTCGTCACCTATTGGCTGGTCTCCTTCACTTTTGTATTTTTGCATTTGTGAGAAGTTGTTAAATAAAATAAAATAGAAAAATATCCCTCACATAATGAATATTTAATTGTGATCGTGGAAGCAATCTCGACATTGACTTTGTTCGGAAAATACAAAATTTATGAAGTCATACTACATTAGCTTGATGCCTATAACTATAATTTATATTTATTCGTAAAATATACGTAGATTCCAGGAGCCCTTGGCGGCCCCCTGGCCCCAACCTACATGCTCTCTTCGCTCGCATACTGAATGTATTACTTTATCCGAAATACCCAACCCTCCGCCCACTTTCAAAATGTTCTGCCGCCTTTGATCCCCTAACAGTATAGGTGTCGGAGGTCTATCCATTTTTTCCCCACATAATACAAAATTATTCAGTATTCAATATAATTATTTTGTCAAATTCATTTTACATAGAAATACAATTGCAAGGGTCTGCTCATAAATAAATAACAGAAATAGTAACTAGGTAACAATATATCAGGTAACCCAAGAACGCGGGATCTATTGTCCGAATACTAGGCCATGACTCGTAGTATTGTACAGCTTTGCCGTTTTGGCTAATTTTCCCTTGTCCGTTTTTTTTTTTATTTTATTTTATTTTTTTTTGTAGAAACGTGTTGTTGTTCTTGTTTATTGCCGTGCACCTTTGTGAAATGGTTGTTTCAGGTGCAGCCTTCTCCAAGCTTTCCGATAACTTTTAACGTCTATAATGTATTTGAATACTTGATAATTTTGTTTATAAATAGCCTAAACTTTACAACTTTTCAGGGGTTCTCATTTAGTTCGATTTCTGAAAATAAAAAATAGATTTTTTTTCTATTACAAATAGTTCTTACACGTAACTTAAATACAGTATGAATTAAACAGCATTTCCAACACCAATATTCTAGCATGCTGTTGTATTATATTAATAACTTTGGTAGCGGCGCTATGTCATCGCTTCTCGGCCTTTTGGCTAAGATCATGTGTAATATCTGTTCTTTTCAGCTTAATATCTGAAACGCTGCTCATTGGGTAGCTTCGAATATTAAACTGATTTTTGAAATTAGGCTATGGAATAGGAGCTTGCTCCGTCCCGGCCACGGGTTGACCTGGTATTGCAGTACTTTCAGGATCAGCCCATCCTCTACAAAGGAAAAACGTATTTGTAAAAACAGAGTTTTATAATCGAAGTATTTGACTATAAAAATAGTTGACCCGACAATCGAACGCATTCTTTTCTTTTTTTATATATGCTGATAATTATGGTTAACCTGATTTTCCTTTGTAATTGTTATTCTAAGAGAGCGATCTGTGTATTTTGATCATGAGAGCATCCACCATCATCATATTCTGGTTCTTGCCCCTCAAAAGATCCTGTATGACACTCCCCTTTCCCCCACATCCCCCTTTCCTCCACACCCATAAGTTAAATCTTACAGAAGCAAAGCTAAACGAGTCCAATTCCATTTTTGGCCGACATAATAAATTAAAATTTAATTTAAAGTAGTCCCCTTTCTCAGTCTGGGTGTTCTTTTACCTTATTAATTACAATGCTCCTTCATCTCTTTTCTCGCATTTTGATGTATGCATTGCTCTTTAACGATTTCTGACTATTCCTTCAATTTTTTATGTCAATTTCTGCATTTTTTTGTTGTCAATTTTCCGCTGTTTTTTAAAAATATTATACTTTTGTACAGTATATCCATACGCAATGCAGCCTTGTTACTGCTATGTATGCTTTTAAAGAATACTGAAGATTGAATAAAATATAACTCAAATAATAATATTAAGTTCTCTCTGACCACCGAAATATGTTCCCTTGCCTTCTTCAAAATTTAATTTGTTCTTTTGTTTATATTTTAAGTTTTATGTTTCTGTATATTTATATTTTGTTGTTTAAATATCCATTAGTAAGCTAAGTGCTACGTCACTGAAAGTTTTATCACACTAAAGACAGAATATTAAATAAATAAATATAACACTATTCGAAACATTGTATGGCTTACCACTTGTATTATAGCTTATGAACAATCTTCATTTTCACACCTTGGAATTTTGACGTAGGCAATAGACTGGACTGGTACCATAATATGCACTGTTCATATATATTACATCAACAATACCAGATGAAATTCTTTGATCATTCAATATATGTATATGTATATATATATATATATGTATATATATATATGTATGTATATGCATATCATACAAAAAAGTATGAGAACGCATGTGGATTACATAACATATTTATTGTTGAACGTGAACAAAAATGGCAGCTCCAAGTTGCATACTGTACAATATAAACAATGCTATTGTAACATAGACCAATCACGGATTAATTAGTCACCGACACCTCAAAGAGAAGCAAATTTTAAAATTATATTTTTTCAATTTGTTTTTCTATTGACATTTTCATTTTGTACATCAAAATCTACCGTTGTAAATATAAGATTCCCTAACTTTCCTAGACAAAGTAAATACATAATGTTTTAAGCAGGATAAACCTAGTTTGTAGGCCTATAATCACCCTTTAACACAATGGTAAAACATAGGCTAAAATACAGTTTGTGTTTGACAAAGGAGCCTGTACAGTCTGTAAAATGAGACTTGTGAGACACAAAACATTTCATGCTAATTAACAGGTTAATTATGGTTAAAAATAAATTTCACATTTGAATTGTTTAATGATTTATATTTAAACATATGTAAAATAATATCTAAAATTTTGATATCTTGATAGTGAAATTTAGGGTTTTATGAACTAGTCCACTTCAAACGCATTTTTTTTTCAAAAATGCTGTTTTGGTCGAAATTGACGTTTATGTCTAGGATAGAGCTGGCCCCTTGGTTTGGACATGTCAGACCCCATGTCGGCAAATTTCTGAAGTCACCACTGGAGAGTATCGAGAAAATAGTGTTAAACAATCCTTAATTATTCATAGTAGAATGCTATGCTGCAAAGCAGAGGTAATAATTAGGATAAAGGAGGAGCCGGAAATATATGTTTGAAAAGGCCATTTTTTGAGCATCGTTAATGTGATAGTGTGAATAATAATATAAAAAAGCCTTTCACAACAGTAAATATCAACATTTTGAATTTGAACCCACAGCCTCACATTTCAGATCCTGAAGTGCAAACTGCTAAAACAACCGCTACCATTTATGCAGTCTTCTTTTTCAATATATACACATTATGAGATTTTTGTTCTGTGTTTTTTATACTGTACAAAATTAATGAGCATGATTAACATGATAAGTCCATTTTCTTTCCCCGAGCTTGTAAACCAATTCTTTTTCCAGCAGTTAGGACGCTTATCTTTTATTTATCTAAGTATTAAAAGACAGTGAGGCGGCAACCATTGGAAGGAGTTTGTCAGTTTTATATCTCCAGTTTTTAATGTTCTTGGAAAAAGTGCACCACACTTGTCCATGGTGAGGTTCAGCATCAACACATCGTTTCTTCACACTTTCTTGTTTTTCCTGAAAAGCATCAAAAGTTTAAAGAATTACATACTAATATATGCTTCTCATTCCTAATTTTGGTGATAATATGGAAACTAAATAATAATAATAATATACAATGCACATATTAAAAAGCTGCTCAGTGTCATCTCAGGTAGTTTTCTTATATTTCAGTAACTTGCACACTTAGATACGAAAGCATTTAGAAATGTTTTCAACTATTATTATTATCATCATTGAACCTCAAATTAATCACCAACAAGTTTTTAAAACTAATATTACCAACATCACCAGGAACATTAACATGACAAATTCATTTACACATTTGGTTTAATCTTCCTCAAGTGTAAAGAGTGTTTAAGATTCAGCTACAAATCATTTATTACTTACTTCAGTTCCATGTAACAGTTGGAATTTGTAATAATACGCCCAAGCATCCCCCAGATCTGGCTCAATCTTAATGGTTCGCTCAAACCACTCCTGTGCTTTGTTCGTTCGACGTTCACTCCAGAACAATCTATGTTGATCCAAGAAAAAATTATAAAATTTTAGAATGACATTAAGATGACGTGGTAAAGATAGTTAGATAATTGGTCTCAGTAAATAGGAACTAAGCCCAATATGAGGAAGAGTATGCGATTAAATGCTACATAGAAAGAAACCATTACTGACTGAACATTTAGTTGTTCTGACTTTCATGATTCCCACATTTTTCACACATCTTTGTCGTGAGAAAAGATCCTGCAACCTGACAGGAATCAACCTTTCTGCTAAGCCCCGCCCCTTAGATATCGTTGCTAAGGTCCCACAAAACGGCATTGTAAAAACATATGCAAACACATGCGTTTGTGGGACAACACATTCTGTAGGACACACATGTATTCCTGGTCCTGTTCTGATTGGTCAGTTATTAAGTCTGACTGACACGCCGGAAAAGGTCAATTGAACAGGACAATAGGATTAGCAAAGAAGAATCTACCAAGCTACGTACTATTCAATCAAATTTTTATTATAATTTTTTTTTTTTCGACAAAAACAACAACTGGTGTCTTTTCTCTGACATTCTAATCCACAAATCAAATGACAAGAATCTATTTAGGTGTTACGAAAGCTTAAAAGTGACATTGTTTGGTGTCAAATACTCACCTTGAGACAGCCAACAGTACATGAGGGTCATGTTCACATCGCTTCAAAGCGTCAACACTCTTGGTCTTCCTCTGTGGTCTTGCTTCCATAAAAATTGCATCAGCCCATAAGATTCCAGAATTTGGACAGTCTTGCATTGCTAAAAAAGGAAGAGAACTTTTACTGTTAAAGCTCTGTCTAGATCATTACATTTTCTTTGTTAAAAAAACTGTATGCATGATGTGATGTCATGATGTGCCTATATATGGTCGTGATGTGATGTAATCATGACCATATTTAGGCATGTCACATGTCTTTTTTAATAGTTTGGACAATGTGTTAGGTAACTCATATTTTTATAATTATTTTTTACTGTATCATTGATTGGTAATTATTGTAGTTTAAATGTTCGATAATAATTGTTATATTCTTCTAAATTTATATTTTTGTATTTTATTTGTATCCTTTATGTAAAGCGCCTTTGAACATGAGTACTCATGAAAAAGGCGCTATCGAAATTGGTAAATAAATAAGAAAAATGTGGTGTAGCGGCAAGGCTTCAGGGATCCTATTCCATGATCTGGGTTCAATTCATATGGTCACACTGCTTATTACTCTTAGGAAGGGCACTCTTCATTTGAGTCATTGAGAGTATTAAATGCTAAATATATACAAATACATTAATGATACCAGATGAAGGATAGACATACCCTTTGCTAAAGTGGACTGAGCAATGTTCTTGTTGCCTGCTCTGTCTTCCATCCTAACTGCTTCTAACCTGTAAGAGAATAAAAATGCTCATTCAAACTACCATAAATTACTATAAGGAAACTGGATACTGAGAAGAGAAGGGAAAAGAACAGGCAGAAGTAAGATGTACATTGATACGTTTATGAGAAGATATGTAGATATTGTGGGAGCGGTTGGTGCATTTTGAAGTAACATAAAAATAAGCAAACTTGAACATTGAAATTACTGTATTCAAAAATGTTTACCTATAATTTTATAGCAAAAAATTATAAAAACACTTCAGTCACTGGCAGTGTTTTTATATTTTTATCATTATCCAGTATAATCAAACAGAATACACAATAATTTCTATGGCCAAGTTAATAATTTGCATGTTACTACAAAATGAGCAAGTTAATTTCAAAATTATTTTTTATGATTTTTCTTATTTTCAGGGGACAATACATCTTTAAATAACATTTTCAGCACTTTATATCTCTTGGTAAAAAGTGTAGTATAAATTCCTACAGACTGATCCATTTACAGTGATTACCGTATAATTATTCTCATGTATAAGACAAGGCTTAAATTAGCAAATTATAATCGCAAAACAGGTGGTTGTCGTATATGCGCAGCACAAAATGTTTAAATCCTGTAACACGCTAACTTACTACTACCGAAATGAAGCTATGCAGGCCCTAAGGTGGTCCTAAGCAATGGCGCCGTCAAATGAGAATGCCCTTTCATAATTGGATTTGCCTATATTATTATTGTATCATCATTATCATGCTTATCGCTGATCAATGGTGGGTTCAAAAAGGCTGTGAGATTCCATTATCATTATCATTGTTATTACTTTATAAGGAATACAGTGCACCATCCAATTCGAGACCCCTCTAATCCCAACACCCCTCTAATTCAAGACCACTTTTCCAAAGACCAAAAATAACAATCTTCAATCTTTTAACACAAAGCTACCCCTCTAATTGGAGACCAACCCCGATATCAACCAAAATTTTCAGGTCCCAAAGGTGGTCTCGAATTGGAGGGTGAACTGTATATGTAAACCTTGGATATGAGTCAAATTATATTGTATATGTAACAAATTTACCATAACTCTGGGCACTGTGTAATGGATAGCCTGGCTTTCTCTAATATGGCCCTGGCCTTTGTCAAGTTTCCCACCTTCTCTTCCAATCTAGCACCAAGTAACCACAGAGGAACTGCTTGACTGCATTTCTTTAACTAACAATAAAAAAAACATAACTAAGAATATTAGTCTGATTACATTCCACAGTAAAGTCACAAGCCCACTGCTCCCTTAAACAGTGAATATTTATCATAGTGTAATTTTTTATGGTCCAAAAATTTCACAATTTTACTAAACAAAAAATTTTGGTGCCATTTATGTTCACAATTTAATATTTATTATTTTTGAACATATTCATATAGTCGACTTAGGCTGCGTACTTAGGCCAATATTATTCTAAATTGGCACTGGGTGGTATCATTGATTTGTAAGTATGTGAACAAAAAAGGCTTTAAAGTGCACCAGCTACCACGAATGACATCATGAAACAGAACAGTGGCATATACAAGTAATGTCACCACTATTTATTGTTATTAAGATTTGTCAAGAGAAGTGCTTTACAATACTTACACCTTGCTGATAAGCTTTGCGTGCCATGTCTCTGTTCCCTAACTGCTCCTCAATCTGTCCCTTCATCATCCACAGCTAATCAAGTGCAAAGAAAGTAGAAGAATCAAACATGATTAATTTTAGGACTATATGACTATAATATATCAACTCATATGAATATATAATACATTTGGTCAATAAAATTAAAATTTAATATTAAATTTGAAAATTATAACATATTTTTATTATTATTACAAATTGTTATTGTTATCATCATTGCTGTCATTGACCCAAACACTTATATCAACACATCATCACCTACAATATATTCATTAAAAAAATTATTAATATTATTAACATCGTCATCACCACCATCAGTATCATTATTAACATTATCATCACTAACATCATCATCATTTTTTATATCATCATCTTTGACATTATTATCCTTCACATATCATTTATTTTTTAAAATTTATTTATTTCTTTAAAACCACAACCAACAGCAAAATAAATTCGCCAATAAAAGGAGGGTTATTAAACAAGAATGCAAATACAAAAAATACAAAACAACAAATTGAAAACAGGAAGAAACATCAAGGAAAAAAATATCATAAAATGATCAATTACAGTACACTTAAAACTTTATGCCTAAACTGATTAAACGAATAAGAAAATATATCAAGATTATTATCTTGAACTAAAAGGGAATTATATAATTTACTTAATCTACAAAATAAACCATTTTGGATGGCATTAACCTTTAACAAGATCATCATCATTGGCACTGGTATCATCATGATCATCACCACCACCACCATTATAATTATCATTATTGTTCAAATCCATTAAGGAAAATAAAATAACCCACTTTAGCAAAGTCTGGATAAGCTTTGACACCTTCCTCAAGTAGATCTTTGGCTTTGGTCATGTTGTTTAACTGCCATTCTAACTTAACAGATTTCATCATTACCTAAATAAAAAATAAACATACATGTTTATGATCGAATTAAATATATGACAATAAATGAAAATATATGGAGTTATACACAATAGCAAAAACACAGCTACACAAACAATAACTAATTAAAGTTCGCCCTCCAATTCAAGACCTCATTAGAGGCTTGCCATCCCAAAACCAGCCTCGGTGACCAAAAAATGAAAATATATATTTTAATAGATTCTTATTTTCCATGTTGTAAGCTTTAAAATGATGGGTCATTTTCCTGGAATTGACTTACTATTGCCAAAGGGATGAGTAAAAGTATTACAGCTTCTCTGTGCTAAAGTATACAGTACTGCCACATTGATACACTAATTACTTAGTTTAACAATAAGTGACAGTACACTGGTTTTGGAATGGCAATCCTCATTTAGGACCTTATAATTTAGGGTGGTCTCAGGGGTCGGTCTCCAATTAGGGAGTTAGCTTTGTGTTAAAAGATTAAAGATTGTTGGTTGGTATGTTGAAAAAGAAATTAGAGGGTTCTTGAAATTAGCGGGGTCTTAAATTGGATGGTAAACTGTAAACTAACTAGATATTAGGTCCGACAATATATAGTACACTGAATCATGGAGATCATGGCTAGCCAAGTGACTTTGAAAGTTGTGTTTCAAATAAACATTAAAATAACTTTATTAAAGAGGGTTTTGGATTGATCATTTCCAGTAACAAAATTAGTTTTGGCACATCCATTTTGCATGCTTTACCCTGGCCGTAGGTGCTTGCCTCCTAGCCTTGGCCAAAAGAAGTCTAGCTCTCTCGTCTTCATTATTCTCACTCTCAAGCTTGACAGCTGCAAGCCAGATCTCCTCACTGTTAGGATTTGCTTGGAAAGCTAAAGCCAGGATACTCCTAGCAGCAGGCACATCCCCTGCGAGCCACTTGGACTTGGCTCCCATCAGCCACAGTACTTCAGCTTTAGGGCAATGTGCTACAGCTCTCTGCAACAGATTCTCCAATGACTCTCTGTTAGAAATAAGGAAATACATAAATATTGAACAATATAATTAATACTGTAAGTCTAAAACTCAACATATTGCTTCAGCAAGTAGAAATTTGAAAGCTCTACGGCACAGCTACCATGCTTTTTGACCTATATGTACTTATAGCAAAGAGTATAGAACTGCAACAGATCCGACTCTCTGAGTTCCGTTGGAACGCAATAATATCCCAAAAACCACTACCATGAACTAGAAGGCCTCCTTCAGAACAACGTAAAAGGCATTTGTATCTAATGTGTGATGCATCATAATATAGAATGCATGCTCAAGTTTCGAATTCAAGGCGCCCTCTATCTCGTGGTAGTACTTTTTTAAATGTTTCATTTCGTGCATACAAAATCAGAGCAGTCACACCTCTTGCACTTCTATACTCTTTGCTTATAGTAAGAATAATATAATTGATGTAAAAAATATTTAATCAATGTATAATCTAATTAAATATAAATGCTGACACAAAACAAATGATGATAAAAATGGTAACACAATTTTCTGTATCTGTAGCCTATACCAACCTACCAGTGGTTCCAAATCAACAGGTTGTCATGTATTAGCCTAGAAATGACCTT